GTTTTTTAGAGCGAAATAATTCCAATCTTCTATATATTCAATGATGTACATGTGTACACATATCATCTATGCCTTTAATCTTATAGGTGTTTATTTTTTGTGAATTATTACTAAGTTATTGTACCTCCTAAAAAAAACGGTCATAAATGTTACAATCTGACAACTTGATGGTATTTCAAACTAAATGAAAAAATTCTATAGTTGCGTTTGTAAAATCTGACCTGCTACATGTGTGCTCAGCCAACCAAATCATGGACATTTAAACTACATTAATGTTTCGTACAAATGATTCCTGCAGAGTACACGCCAGATATGCCCATCTTCTTTTATATTGATAAAACACAAGAAATTCCACATAAATAGTATTTTTAGAATGGATTGATTATATACTAGTTTTCTTTTACGTGACCTTCTACAGCATCAACTGGATTTAGTACTTTTGAATGACTTTTCCCATGTGTATATTATAAATCATTACTGATGTGGTAAATAAATATTTAAACATGTTCATCAATGATATTGAAAAATTGGTAATATACAGTAAAACGTTTTAATTCAACGAAGTCACAGGGACCAACGAAATTTCTTCGCTATATCAGTAATTCGTTATATTCGTATAATGAATTCGTTAAATTTAAAAAGCTGGGGATCTACGATAACTTCGCTATATCCGTGAATTCGCATTATCCGTGTTCATAATAAACGAGTTTTACTGTATACATAGTAATGGTTGAGACAATACATGTATAACAATGGTATGAACAAAAATATTTGTGTCTTCATGTGTTTTCCTTAATTTCCATTTCTATTTTTTTCTTTGTGATAAGTCTTTGAAAGTTTGATGGATTTGATTTTTTCATTCTACCAGCATTTAAATTTCGCCAAGCGATATGTCAGGAGTAAGGGGGCTTAATTTCATGTAAATGTCGTGCGCATGTATTTGTGCCTGACGGAAAGGAGGTCTATTATAGGCATGTATCTTTGTGTTTGACGTCAGTAGGCCGGGACTATTAAAATTGATATGGGATGCCTCGTATAATTTAAATCTAAATTAAGTAAATTTACAATTTTTGTTCACAACGAAATGGAAATATAAGGAATCACTGTCTAGTTATTAGATGCCAGGGACATCAACGGTAACTGGAAACGTGCGATAATTTATGCATAACGGACTTCGCCCATTATGCAAATTATCCCACGTTTCCAACTGTCGTTGATGTCCTGGCATATTCTACTAACTAGACAGTGATTCTAAATGCCTGTACAAAAACTACAATAGTGACGAAGTCTGTTGTGTTATAAACTTTACAAATACAGTATTTGGAAAACATGTCTTACTTAGACTTAAGGGAGACCCCGCTGCCTGTGGGATATTAGGTGCTCATTTATTTCATGATGCCAAGTATATCTTGGCATATTGTTGCATATATTTTTTCTTTGCCTTGACTTAGGACTTGCTTAATTATATTGACACATCCGAAATGATTTTAGTATTTTTATTACTTATAAATTATTAACACTTAAAATTATTATTATCCAGTTTGGTTTTAGTGAAATTGTATACAGGCATATGCCTTTTACTACTCTGCGTGTTCGGAATTTATCCAGCTAACGAAAGAGAATCCAATGACCTGTCCAAATTCCTCTTCGATTTTTTCCACACACCGTTCATACCGGGTATTATTTTAGCTAAAATTCCTGCTGAAATACTGCAAAACTTTCTAAAACATTTAATCATGAGATGGCTGGTAATTTGCGTGTTTCTTTTTGCATTTCCAAAATCAGAGCAGTGTGAAAATTTCAGATATACAAAGGATGTTTACTCCGAATTCCATACAGATAATTTCTAACATTTCGGCCTCTTCGCTGGAGTACGTGTACGGCCTCTTCGCTGGAGTACGTGTACGGGATATGTACGGCGGAGTGTTTCGCGGACCGGACCTGTAACGCCGTGGACGTGTGTGGGACGCTCTGTAGGCTGATCAGGGGCTGGGACGCCCCCTACACGGGGGACAACTCTACAGACGTGTGTCAGCGCTACCAAATTTAGAGTCCAAATTAAACCTTTAACAATCGTTTAAAATCATAACATGTACACAAGTAAAATTTTAAATTTGAAACAAGGTAGGACATTCAAAAGTATATTATTGTACATTAATATTTTTGACTTATTTTGAATGTTAAAAATTTAACTTTTTGATTTAAAATGATGTTTATTTTTTGGTAGGAATGCAGTCAAGGAGAATATTATGAACGTTTGTCGGAAACTTGTGTTGCGCATGGTTGGTTGTATTAAAATGATTTTTGTTTACTTTTAAGTTTTCGTCTTGGAAGATATTTGAAAAATTAATCAAAGTCATACATATACATTTCAGAGTTTTGCGACTTTGAATCAGACCCTGAGGTGGTTTGTTTTTTGGCTGAGGACAGCGGCGATAATGCTGATTGGATAAGAAATTCAGTAAGTAAAAGTATTTTATTTACTTGTACATGTATTGCAGCTTGAAAATGAAATTTTTTCATGCAACAATTTTCATTTTATTCATCTTTATAAGATTCAAGGTTTTTGGAAGTCTTAGAAAAGAGCTTATAAAATTTGACATTTGTACCCTATAAAAGGGGAAAAAAAATACATACAGTTTTAAAGAAATATGATTTTCTTAAATCCAGCCTTAGATACCAATGCTTATTACCATGATATGAAATAAGAAGTGATTTGTGTCTTGCAATGAAAGCAAAAGCCTTTTACACTATGTATTGTAGAATAAATAACGAAAAAGGAAGACAAAAATACCAAATAAGTATTAAAATCATGACAATTTCTCTAAATGCCTGGATACCTATCAATTTTTAACCTAAAATATATTTGTTGATCAATTTGCAATTAGAAAATACATTGCCGATATCCCAATTTCTTATTTAGACATTGACTATCGACCATCCAGCTTTTGACAATTCTAGATTGTACAATGGACAACTGGATGTCAAAAGTAAGTTCAGTACAAGATTTTTTTTTTCAACTTTTAAGTGAATTTCTGTTTTCATACATTGTATACACTTTGAAATTTTGAATAAGACTCGATTTAAGAAGCAATGTTTTATTGAACATTCCTCAAAACAATGCTGGATCTTGAAATATATATTTGTAATTTTTAAACTTTAAATAGCTCTTTTTATCAGCTATTCTAACCCGGATCCCCACAGGACCTCAATTTAAGAAGCAATGTTTTATTGAACAGAATTTTATTTACACATTGATTCAGTCATACATAGATAAAAAATATTTTTTATATGAAGGTTTATGGGGCACCTGCACTAGATCCTTCAATTCGGGATGCCATAAGTCTGCGTACGGACAAGAGATTCTTCCGCCAATTATGTCTGGTAAAGTTTACACCAACGCGGTCATTAAGTATGGACGAATCAACGTGAGAGCAAGACTTCCCAAAGGCGATTGGCTCTGGCCAGGTAGCTATATCTATACATTTATACCACATCCATGTATATGTTTTGAAATTCCATGATATGCAAAAAAGTATAGTTATATTGCAGTCAAATTCAAAGTCATCTTTTTAAATTGTTTGGTAATGTTTGACAGCTATTTGGCTGATGCCACGTGATAGTGTTTACGGTACTTGGCCTCGTTCTGGAGAAATTGATGTCATGGAGGCAAGAGGTAAATCACGTCATTCGAAGGATAACCTTTAGTTGAAATATTAGTAATAAATTAATAATGCAAAGTGAAAACCATTTTGATAAAAAGTAATTTTAGAAAAATCACATTGTTGAGTCCCACTTTTTGCAATGTAAGTTTTATTCTTATCCTATCTTGATATTCAGATAGAAAGTTACCTATACATGTACTTACTAATGATAGAAGTAATAGCTACTAGAAGTGAGTACAGAGCGCATTCAAATGCTACGAGAAGGTGTCCAAAAGCTATTGAACCAGATATGACACCAGTATCTGCCTTGCTTGCATTGTATATATCAGATTATTTGTTTATTTTTAGTATGAGGGCAATATATAATTATATGGACTCCTTTACATAAATGTTGCAATAAGCCTTTGACTTTTGGCAACAAAATGTCTTCATGTCCAACAAATCAAATATTCATCTCACACCTTGATACTTGCATATACATTCAAAGACTAAATGCAAAAGGCAATGTGTAAATAAGATCAAGATTTCTTTATCAAAAATTTTAAAGTTCTTAATTATTTAATCAGGGAATGCTAAAGCTATGTCACACGGCGTTAACCACGGTATAACTCAGATAGCCTCCACACTACACTGGGGACCGGATCGCGCACATGACGCCCACCGTACCACTCATAACGAGAGGTATTTACATTTCACCTTTCCATCTTTTTTCTTCGATGTCTTTTCTTAAAATATGTTGAAAGCCGCATATTGAATGTATATCCAAAAAAATGAAGACTTACAGCGTCAAAAATAAGAAAAAATATTTTATTTCTTATCAAATGGAAAAATTATTTTAGCCTTGCAACGCTTTGGAAGGACACTGTTTGTGACAGGTCGACAGGGGTGCTTACCTCTCCTTGGCACCTGATCCCACCCTGGAATTTCTAGGGGTCCTGGTTAATGTTATGCCCTCTTCACACTCTTGATCACTGTCTATAATTATCACATTTTACATCATACAAATGCCATTAAAATATGCTATTAAATTGTTAGAATTCTAGATCACATGCAGGTGAAAACTCATTTTCTGAAGTTTTTATACATTTCAATGATCAGTAATACTTTTATCTGATTGACACTAAATCATAATTCCTGGAATAGCATGCTCTACATATGAACAATTAAATTATTGACAAACACGTTGATGAACAAAGAATATCAGCAGTTTCGTTTAAAGTCATCATTTCGTAAGTTCTTTCGTCGATACAATGACCTTGTCAGCAAATACAATTTGTCGATGAGTCAAATGCTGACTGACGTTTTTCATACGTATTGTTAGTCCATTATTTATATCTGAATTGACGACGGATTTTTCCGTTAATTGCCAATCATGACAAGGAGCACACGGCGGGTGTGACCGGTTAGCAGGGAATACTCAATCTTCAATGGCACCTGATCCCACCTCCGATGTTTTGGAGGTCCGTGTTTGTTCTGCTCCTATTTTGTATTGCTTTATGGACTTTGATATTGAATACTGTTCGTTATTTCCATATCCTTCATAGACAATCCCATGGTGGTGACTGGCATAGTTGGCACACATATTCCCTAGAATGGACAGCTCAGCACATTATGTACGTGGAAATTTAATATTGATTTTTTCAATAATTTCTATTGTCGTACATTTCTTTTAAAAATTTAAATTGTGCATAATCCTGATTATATAAGACTTTATCTTGTTAAATGAGTATCTATTTTATTTGTCTTTATTTTTAAATGATGAAAAAAGTTGTCTGGTGGATAATCACGAAATATTACGAGTCAACACACCTTCTCACGGCTTCTGGAACGCTGGACATTTTTCGGGCACCAACATATGGGGAGATAATAAAAATGCACCATTTGACCAACCTGTTAGTATAAACATTTAACTTCTTACTGAGAAAAATTCGGGTACCAAACACTTATTTCAGTGGTAGAAAATGGTAAACGTTCTGAAACAGTTTTGGTTTTAATCTTATATCGTTTAATTTTCAAGATACATCTACTTAAGCTTTTGTTTTTGATCTAGTTCCGGGTGTTGTTGAACGTTGCGGTCGGTGGCCTGGGTTATTTTTCTGATCACTACCAATATGACACCCCGAAGCCCTGGCACAATGACTCTCCTCATCCAAAGAGAGATTTCTGGGAGAAAAAGAATGTGTGGTTACCAACGTGGCATGGTGATAATGTTGCAATGTTAATTGATTACATCGAAATGATTCAGTATTAAAAAATATATATATTAAGTTATGGTATGTTTTATCTATAAGTATTATTTGGAGAAGATTTTTTCTTCAGAATCATTTTTAAGGGGAAAACCCATAACGGATGCAAACAATAATTGCGTTCGTCAATTGCAAATCAATGTATTTTGTGACCTTGGTATCTGCAATACAATTTATATAAATTGAGCTTCATATGTCACGCAATATTTTAGCGGACATTCAAATTGAACTGAGCCATCGTCAATGAAGGATATGGAGGTAACAAATAGTATTCAATATCAAAGTCCATCGAACAATACAAAATAGTAGCAGAGTAAATACAGAACTCTTAAACATCAGAGGTGGGATCAGGTGCCATGGAGGAGTGAGCATCCCCTGCTGACCGGTCACACTCGACGTCATGATCAGGAAATTACGGAAAATCCATCGTCAATTCAGTGTATAAATAATGGACTAAAAATAAGTTTGAAAAACGTCAGTCAGCATTTGACTGAATTTGGAAACTTGAAGAACGTTTCCTATAGAAAACTTATATCCAGAAAAAAAAATGGACCGGAGAGAGAGACGGGGGGGGGTAATATTTTTTTTCAATGTTTGACCTCAGCCAATCTGATTACTGTCTATAGGAATATTTCAAACATATTTAATAACATTGTTCATATTGACAATGAAACTTTTCTCAATAGCAATTCCTTTCCATATCCATTTTTTAAGCTTACAATACTATATTCCCTTCATATTACTTTACTTTACTATAAAGTGGGGGGCCAAACAGTCTTTCAATGAACATTTTCAGTAGTAAAAGTATTGTTGGCAAAAAAAGTGGGGGGGGGGGAGGGCAGCCCCCCCCCCCCCCCCCCTCTGTTGCTACGTCCCTGTTAAACTATAGTTAACAACCGTTAAATATAGTTTTACAGATGAAGACTATAGTTAACGAATTCACGTTTTGTAAACTATAGCTTACAGTCGATAAACCTATTTTATCAACTGTGAATCTATGTTTAGCTCATTTTTGTGAATTTGGAGTGCCATATACTGACGTACTTATTTGAAACACACACACCATATATCATTTATAAATAAGGTCTAAATGTTGTAACTCATTCAACATCGGTGGAACATTTTTTGACTATCTCCTTATCATCCTTAAATTCCACAGTAGTTCTCTGAAGATGTCCTTGTTTTGAATTTTTTTTCCGCTCAGAGCATTTTATTAACACTTTGGGAAAGATTGAAATTTGCGACACTCGTTACAAATTGTGCTCAACAACTTTCGCGCCTTTCAAGTTTCCAGGAACTCTTTATCGGATGGAGGTAAGAAGTTCACCGTTCGGGATTGGGATTTGGAGGCTGTAGCAGTACTCCTGGAAGTCTCCCTAATTTAGCAGCAGAGGAACGAAAACAGTTGAGTGAATGCAAAATACATTTAGTATACAGTTTAAATTTGATTCATATATGTATGTTTATCATTGACATTTGTGATTTACCGTTTAATCCGCATGTAGAGTATTACTGCTACATCACATGTAGTCTGGTAATACATCACTTTGTCAAACTTGTTGTATGGCCCAGTATTTTTCATCCATTCATTCTTTCTTAAATTTCTAGCATCCCAGACTTGTGGAAAATGACAGATCGATTAAAAAAAATGAACTCCCTTGATTCCGATGATTATTTTTGTTTTTTGTTTGAAAATCATCAGTCTTTATCTGTTGAATTGCTAGTCTCCGTTTTATATAAAACAAGTTTTGAAATCATAAGTTCTGTTGAGAACATTTTCCATTGAACCAGTTCATGAATCATGGTAATGAATGACCTGGTCATGTAACATAATTATTACATGAACTAGTATGTCCGCCATTTCAGTGTTCCAAATAAATAATACATATTTTATTATTTTAAAAACTTTTAAAGAAATTTTACACCCATGTAGAAAATAGGGGGGAAATCATGCATGATGCATTTACTTTTTAAAGCTGCAACGGCTGGAATAGATGAGATTTGTATAACAGCTGGTTAATTATGTTTGATAATTTAAAATTAACTAAATGTTAAGATATAATTATAAGTGGCTTTTAAACTGGCGAATATGTTTTCTTGACTGCAATAAATGAATAATGCAAGATTTTAAAAAATAACTTATTTGCATGAATGTTTCTACAGAACTTTTTTTTTCCTTTCCCAGTTATTAAAACTAAATTTATCATGTTTATAATCATTTTATCAACAAAGAGTTTTACCTTTTCTCCACCGTTTTTTTCCATCTGATTACATGTGTATCCTTTTTTTCCCTTCCCTGAGTCCTCTAGACCTGCTTCAAGACTACACAATGTCAGAACATGGATTTTCTGTAACTGGCCATTCTGTTGGAAGACCTTTATCTGGCTCTCCCAGAAGGCCAGACATCCCAGACAATCACAGCAAGTCAGCTGTATCCAAGGACACACCAAACAGGCGGTCCATACATCCTGACTCCTGCAATGTTCAGCTGGAGGTGACTGCTACGGCCCTGAAGAAGGAGGAGGTGAAGGTCCAGTACTGGTCCCCCCGGGAGTCGTACACAGACGTCAGTCAGCCGGGCGGGGACACTCGCCAAGTTATATCATTGGATCAGAACTCTAATGTCCAGGAATCGGCCAGTCTCCACTCAACAGTTCAAAGCATGTCTTCATCTCTCTTGTATCCAGGATGGTAGGTAACACACTTGTTGTCAAAAGTGTACTTAAATTTAATACATATTTCAGATATTGTTTGATCATCATAATCATAGACATAAGCCCGTATCACCATTTATCAGATTCAGTGTGACTTTAGATGCTAATGTAAATAAAATAATGAGACAAACATTGGTAACTCATACAAAGCTAATTAAAGAAAAATGCTTAGTTCAACGTCCAACAAATGTTGAAATTTGTGGCCTGAGTAAGAAATGTAGATTAATATTTAGACGGCTTATTACAGGAGCAGCTTGTTATCTGGTTATGGAGGAGAAAACAGGCGCACAGTCATCTCAGCTTCCTCTGTATCAGACAAGGTGAGGATCTCATCCCCCAAAAGGATCGTAGTGAGTTCTCTAGACAAAGGAGACCAGAACCAGACTTATGCGACCAGCACAAAGGTAAGACTATAATTAACTGATTTACGATTTCTAGGGTACATTAAATGGGTATGCATTCATTTCTCTATTCCTGTGAAACAGATAAGGTAGTGATTTCATCACCAAGAAGAATCTCAGTGAGTTACCCAGACAAAGTAAACAAGAACCAGACTCCTAGGAACCAACACACAAGTAAGACAAGGATTACATGATTTATTAATTAACTTGCTGAATAATGATGAAATCTTCTTCGAAAATGCAAAATCTCATTCTTTTGTAATAAGATTTGAATAAATGCTTGCAAAAAAGAAAATGAAAACAAACTATTGTAAATTTCTAAATATATGCGTGGAATTACTTATGGTTTAATTGCCCGAGAAGCACTACTCACAAAATAAAATTACTCACTTTTAAATTTATGGTGCAAAAATCTTTGTAAAATCTCCTGATCAACCATCCATTCACAAATTATTATTCTGGCAATTTGACGTTGAACTGCCCATTTACATTAATAAGTACTCATGAAAAATAAGGAATCTACAGTATCCTAAAATATAAAACAAAAAAGAAAAAAAAAATCCAAGTCTAAAAAATTCGTCATGCTCAAGTGAGCTTTTATCAAAAACTTATCCATTGTCTCTTTTAACTTTTCACATTTTCATCTTCTTTAGAACTAGCGTTAGCCAAACATAAACACAAATTATTCTTTGGTAAAGAACACATGTAATCATAGGAACACTTAAGTTTTATCCTAAATGTTGTCCGCCCAGGCATCACTTGTTTCTTTACAATTAGTGATGTAAAGGAATACATACAGCTTAAAAAAATGCTGCATTATGTCTCATGTTTCTTTGTGTCTCCTTTGCGTAACACAATATTATCAATATCAGGGCTCTCACACCACTTTTTGGGACTGGGGCTGGGGCCATTCAAATTGGGAAAATTATCATCATTTTGGGAAAAGTTGGATAACCAAAATTCATTAAAAAAAATTCTCAAATTTTGCTTTTCTAGCATTTTGTCATCATTTTAACCCTGGTTTTGAATAAACAGTTAAACAGACCAAACATGGGTATGTATGCTAGTTATGAAAGTACATTAGCTTTGTCATTACTATCTCTGAGTGTTGATATTGCGGTTATATGTCTTTCTGAGTGACAGTCGCTAGTCAAGTAGTCCCGAATTTCCTCGATCACATGGAGAACTTTGCTTACCAATACAGCGCGAGACTGAACATGCCGAAGCGTGGGTATGTTTCTAGGTGCAGCTTACTAATGTTTAAATGAAATGTCTATTTTTGAAACTAATATGATGTTTTTTGTTGAAACTTCATGACAAGATACTCTGCTCTCATAGTTAGTACATATTTTTGGAAAAACAATAACCTGGTTCCCCGAACCAATTTATGAATGCATTTGGCGCGAACTATTAAAATAGTAGTACAGTTTCACTTTCATTTGCAAGTGTGTTTCGTTTGGGTTTTTTTTGCGATTAAGTTTCATTGACTTTTTTTTTTTAATTAATATTTTGCTATGGAAATTGGGAAATTTACACCTTTCTTTTGGGAAAAAAGGTACCTTTTTTGCATTGGGAACGGGGCCGAATATCGGCCCCAGATATAGAGAATCGAGAGCCCTGAATATATTCTATTAATTCATTTGTTTTAAATTTAAAACAGAGTCATCAACAAGTCTTACTCCTAGTGTTTCTGGTATGACAATGTCTGGTAAGCGAGACATCAGTAAGAGTTACCTCCCCTCAACACAGACAGACTCCAACAACAACAGCAGCGCCCCGAGTTCTGTGGATGCTCTCAGAACAATCCAGGATTTCTTTATTGCCAGTCAGCAGCATCTGTCAGTGCTGAAGAAGAACCTTGTGGATTATGTATCCACAGAGAGCAGTGAGTCCTCTGATGGTGAACAGACGCAATCCGTGCCGGATATAGTCGTCTCCACTGGTCACGTGGGTGTAAAGAGGAAGATGGAGAAAACCAGTGAAGACAGCGGACCAGCTAAAAGGAAGTGTGACATCAGTAAGCCTTCTCCGACCCCTGCTGGGTTTATTGGGCCAATAGACACAAGGGGTGTTACAACAAAGAGTCCGGACTGTGCTTTAGATATACAGAGATTGACAGAAAGTTTTGAAAGCAAGCATTATAGACGGAAAACACAAGAAGAAATAGTAAGTTACAAAGAAGAACAAACTGTTTATACTTCTGAACTGAGCACTCAAACCACGCCTAAGTCTGTGGTTTCTTTAAAGTCAAAGAGTCCAAAAATTTTAGGGAAGAAGTTTGCAAGAACTGTTATAGGCACACCAACGTCAGGTACCTCTGCAAGATGTAAAGATTGGAAGAAGTCACCCAGGTCATCTATTTCTGTAAGGAAATTAAATGACATCGTACAGACAAAGACATTAGAAACATCATTTTCCTCTAAATCCGAACAATACTCCAGTATTCAGAAGAATGTCAGTGATTCTCCCAGTGTATTAAAGCCATCTACAGCAACATGGCAGCCTTTCTGGGCAAGTGGTGGAAGTTCTGCAAGTTCTCCTTTAATGGGGAGACAAGAGTATGAAGCAAATGAGGAGGAGAAATCAAGCTTAAAGAGACACTTCAGATCTGTAAGTGCCCCAGAAAGTAGGTACACAGAATACTACAGCAGTGTGGAGGTGTCAAACGCTCAGCAGATGTCTAGTATCTCGGGAGACTCCACTAGCGTTACTGGGGCTAGCTTGTTACCTCATCGATTACGCTTCTATCAGAATTCTAGACTCAGCTATTCACCATCGACCAGTACGTACAACTGGAAGGAGAACTTTAAGAGGACCTGTAACAGTTATGGAGAGCCGTACTATGACTCCCACTGTCACATTGACTTCCTGTTCAGTCGTCAGAGGTTCTGCGGTTCCTGGAGTCGCTTCAAGGCAGTTAATCAGGAAACATTCCCAGACAACTTTGCAGGATGTGTAGCTGTCTTCTGTAACCCTTTTTCCTTCAAACCTGATGGTAAGTTATTTTTTTATTGAGTATATTTATTTTTATTTATTGCTGGATCTTTTTTAATTGATTTAAAATAGAAAATTCATTTGGAAATTCTATCGATGTACTAGAGCTTTAAAAACATATATGTTAGGTACACTTTAGGTTAATTTTTTTCAAAATCAAGTTAAAAGTGATTTTTTAAAAAAAAAAAAATAGAATGGTCAAAACGTATGCACCCATGATTTTTCAAGATGCGAAAGTTTGTTTGAGGCTGTTGTACATTGACCTTAATGGTTTCAGGACTGTGGAAAGATGTGTCGTATGAAGATGATGTGTGGCTAGCGTTTGGCTGCCATCCTAAGAGTGCTACTGACTTCTCTCAAATGAGTTATAATGGACTGAAAGCATGTCTACAACACCATAAAGTTGTCGCTCTAGGAGAAATAGGACTGGATTACTCAGGAACGTGAGTGCATTCTTTCTTAAAAAACTAAATCTGTCCATCATAATGATCATTTTATATCGCACAAAATAAGTTGGGGGCGTGGATATCAGGATTCATCACTTTTTTTTTGTTTGCTTATCTATCTGTCTGTTTCAAATTGTTTTTATTAAGATAAAATATTTGTTGTAGAGTCTTGTGAAAAGAAGATATTTTTTTCAGATTTCGACAACATATGGACGTTCAGAAGATTGTGTTCAGGAGACAGATACAGCTGGCCCTGGAAATGGAGAAGCCTCTAGTCATACACTGCCGGGACGCTGAGGAAGACTGTCTACAGATTCTTAAAGAGGTCAGTGTTAGTCTCAGTGATTATAGCTGAGGAAGACTGTCTACAGATTCTTAAAGAGGTCAGTGTTACGTAGTCTCAGTGATTATAGCTGAGGAAGACTGTCTACAGATTCTTAAAGAGGTCAGTGTTAGTCTTAGTGATTATAGGTGAGGAAGACTGTCTACAGATTCTTAAAGAGGTCAGTGTAGGTCCCAGTTATATTATAGTGAACTATAGAGTGTACAGTGTAACCTTATCGTCAGCCAGACTTTGGCTGGCTGTTAATTTGAACGTAAGTCTTAAAGAGCTAATGCTTTGGTTATTTGTACCAAATCTTCCTAGAGCATGAGTCAGATCTCTAGTAACCTTTTGTCAAGTTTGTCATACCTTGACCGAAGGGTTTCCATTTGTACTAAAAATAGGAATGAGATCCTTGGAAAAGAGGAGATAATTAGGGAAATTAAAAAAACGGTTGCTAAAAAATATTCCTGTTGTTAATTAAAAATTAAAACAATTCTCAGGTTAGCTTGGACTTTCAGTAAGGCATTCTCGGCGCTACGTAACTAGCATGTGTCCAATGGCGAATAGATTCTCATTAGTTAAGAAATTTAATAACATCAGGAACCTTAAATTGCTGTTGCCAACAATGAGATGACTTAAACCTCTTTGCGAGATGAGGCAATGTTATTGGTAACTGTGAAATCACAAATTTTCATGGGGGATTAATTTTCGAGGTACGACGAGACCCACAAATTATTCATAATCCACCATGAAATGTAAAATGTTACATACATAAGTACTCATTAATTCTTGATCCATGAAATCAAATAACCACAAACCAAGAGATTCTCCTGAAACCCCAGGAAAATATGTGATTTTACAGTATTCAATACACTAGTTGGCATTTACCCGAATTTCTATCCCATGACTATATTTCAACAGTGAATGAAAGCTGTGTAAATTTCAGATGATAATTATGTAACATCGAGAATGCAATGCCTCACTGAAAGTCCAAGCTTACCTGAGAATTATCCTATAAGCCTGGGGCAAAGGGCATGGTTTCAAGATCAGTTCCATTTGACGTAAATCAATGTTTTATTAAGACTGATTTCTGGATAATTTAAAGTCTATGATCATTAGATTTTGCCTGATAGCTGATGCATCTGATCTCATGAATTGTTGACTCAAAAGTTGGCCACAGTCTTTACATTGCTGTTATTCATTTTCATATTTTAAAAATGTATATTTTGGTGAAGGATAATAAAACTGACATAATCATACTATCATAATACTTTATTTGTCACATTTTCTTCCATACATATTTCAATATTTAATTCAGTCTTGTCTTACATATCCCTCATATATTCATCAGTTTACCAATAAGTTTTGGCGTTCTTTTCCAGATGGTACCTAAGAATTATAAGATTCACTGTCACTGTTTTACTGGTGACTACACAGGAGCGACCCGGTGGATTGAAGCCTTTCCTAGACTGTTTATAGGCCTGACTCCAATGGTGACCTACAGACAATGTGTCCAGACCCACAATGTCGCTCGCTATATTCCACTCAACAAATTGTTATTAGAGACAGATGCACCATACTTCTTGCCAAGAAAAGTAATTTATCATTATTGTATTAATCTTTTTGATTTCATTGCACTGAGAGGCTATCAAAAGAGAGATATTATAATAATTTGAGTTATTTGACACTTGTTTTTCTCACTGTAGATCCCTAAGGAGGAGATGGCTTTGTCCCACCCTGGTATGGCCATCACTGTAGCAGAGAGAGTGGCCTTCTTCCAGCAATGTACCGTCCAACAAGTCCTCCAGGCCTGCAGGAACAACATGAGGGAAATGTACGGAATCTAAAACAAAAGGATATTTATATCAAATACTCAGATCAATCAGACATTGTTAATGCCAGAGTTACTAAATGACAATGGAATAATGTGAAAGCATTTTAAGGAAAGTCTAGAATATGAAATATCTTGAATATTTACAAGTCATAATATTATGAAATTGTTTCACATCTTTTTCTCAGGTTTTAGTCTATTAAAATAACAATGAATAAATATTGATATCCCTGAAAGCTTTCAAATCAAGCGTTGCTTATTTTTGTATCATCAATTTAAAGCCCCCCACATATATATTATCATCTTTTAAAAAATACTCATTGGAAGTACTAAAGCCTATAATACAGTGGGTGTAGTACTAAATAGTACTGAAGTTAGTATACAGTTTAAGTATATCATTGAGGGAGTTAACAAGACTCCAGTACCCCAGGCCAGGACTATTCCCGATAAAATGGATGTATAAAAAAGATAACAACAGACCTCAAATTTTCTGTTATGATCTAAAGGCCTGTGACAAAAGCAAAGCAACCTTAATTGAGAAGTGTAACAAACTAAATTTAATCCCGTAGGATACCCCTATTGCGTGAATGTAAATATTGTTATTTATCCTCGATTTGTAATTTTATCTACCTGTGAGCTCGTGTTCGGGTAGTACCCGGGAAGTCATATATATATATATAACATGGAATATATCCCATTCATTATGACGATGACAAATTTCTCATCATAATATATTGAATATATTCCATGTTTCACAATGTATTGGAGAAAATAATTCATTGTCAATATCCGTGGGATTTATCCCATTTGAACAAATTCATGGGAGAAAAAATCCCCTAGGAGAAAATATCCCATCTGACATTTTTTCTCCCATGGGAGAATGGTGGGATAGTTGGTGGGACTGAAAATCCCACCATTCTCCCATGGGATTCTGAGTTTTAGGACTTCATATCTTTAGAAGTGGAGATGTTCTTGAGTCCAATATAAGAACCTGGAATACTGCTAAGAAATCCCACCAAGTGATATAAAAACATTTTGGTTATCATAATTAGAAATGGTAGTAAAAAGTCTGGACTATGTCGTGTCCAGATTTAAATGTCGTACTGTTATTCTCAGTCCGTGCAGTTGTGGTGAGCAGACTTTGACAATTGAACGCACCCGGTGAAATCAAAACATTAACAAAAACAGAGTTCCTGCCTTGTTTACAAAAACTGTGTACATAACACGAGTGTGACCGATTTGCACACACGACTTAGCTCGGAATGACGATACTTGTGAAGCCGTTTTGCTTTCTAACATTTCTACTCCGAATAAAATTATTTTTCTGGATTAAAGTTTTAATATGTCTCATTAAAACACAACAAGATTGCCATTTTTCTGAAGAATTAAGAATAAAATTAAAATATGTGAAAGTGCAAGGATGTGTCAATCAAACCCGCCAAAAAATTTGAAGTTTTAATAACTTTTAAATGAAATAAGATTTTAAATTAACTTTTGTGTGAAATTCTAATAAAATATATAATTCGTCATATTACTGTGTAGTATACAGAAAATATTAACTTCAAATCTGTGTCCAAGTACCTTTAAGACCTGTTTGGCTTGTCATAATGAAGTAGCCGGGGCGGGTACTCAAACTACATCAGGTATTTGAAAATACAATTTGTAAAATATGTTTTCTTGTGTGAGTCTACACGTTTAGTATGGTTGTTTTATTATATTTTTCCCCAGGGTCCTATTTCCTCGGGCTTTTGTCCCGTTTCGTAATTATCAGGTCTTGGGCGGGGTACTACAACTTATTACACTGACAATAGCCAGTCCAGAGTGAGAGGGAGAGGCTTGCATTGCTTGTGCAGTTACTACCGCATATGTAAGAGAGAGTACGACAGAGTACGGCAGCCCTGACGGACACCTCGGGACCAGCAATTTCAAGTTATGTGGTGATATTGAATTAAGAATTCACCTTTTTGAAATATCAATTTTCAATCCAAAGTTATTCCAGACGGCATTGTGAAAGTTCAAAAACACTAAAATATGTGATATTTGTGAAATTATAATTATTCAATCTGATTGGTGAAAGACAATATACGTTTACAAAAGGAAATTCAAAACCAGAACTCAAATCTTCTGCAAGGGTATTGTGATTCATTTACGGCGTTTTAAAGGACACTCTCGGGGACGTGCAGCTGACAGACAATTCATTTATTTTTTTTAAATATGTTTTTGTTGTAAAAATTTACTTTTGTTTTGTTTATTAAATTTTGTTAAAATTTCATTTGTTTTGTTTCCTTCATTTATTCAAGTTCTTAAAGTGTATAACCCACATCTCAACAAGAAGAATTCAAGTTTCTTCAAAGCAGCCTTAAATTAATTTGAAATTTCAAATGGCAGATGCGTTTTTTTCAATGGAAGATAATGCAGACCTTGTTTGAAAGTTTTTCAACATAAATGTGGATTTAAATCATGCTTCCTCCTTCAGGGGTAAGGTTGTTTGCTGGGGATGTTTATTTCGCCATATGGCCTTTACAGGGACATACATGTAGCATCGTTTTTGAAAGTGCGGGGACCAGCCAACAAAAAATCCAACTTACCTGTAAAATACTGGATAATAAAAAAAAAAGGAGGGGCCTGTGGGGGGGGGGTATTAAAACTCGAAAATTAAGTTATTTCATGGGGGAGGGACTGTATATGGCAATAAGGGGAGGGGGCTACAATCTGCCTTTGTATAAATATTTTCCATAGAAAAAAAATTATTTGGAAGAAGGGGGGGGGGGGGTCTTCCATCTATATTGCTTCAGAAAAAGTCCCCAGTAGGGCATATGAATACAGTAGTTTAACCAGGGAATATATAAAGAATTTTTTTAAAAAATCTTGTGAAGAACAACAGGGCTCTGATATCGATCATTCATAGTGATATGTAGCATCCTTGGTGTAGATCCAGGTTTGTTCACATCATGGCCTTGAGGGTAGGGACTAGCGAAAGCCACAGGACAAGACCATAGCAATTGTTTCAGAAGTAGCAGTGCCGTACCAAGTCATGTTTATATGTCAACATTTCTAGGTTGTGTGAATTCAATTTTTAGCTCTACTGGTCAGAGACCAGAAGAGCTTATGCGTCCGTCGTCCGTCATTCTGTCTAGCCGTCCGTCTGTCTGTAAACAATTTTTCAAAATGCTACTCCTACAGTTTTGGTCTTATTTCAATATAACTTGGCAAACAAGTAGACTACATTACGATACATAATTCTGTGTATCGGTTTTTGATTTCGATGAATGGTGTTGCCGTGGTTACTAAAAATAGAAATTTCTGTGAAATACTTTTAAAATGCTACTCCTCCTACAGTTTTGGTCTGATTTGAATATAATTTGACACACAAGTAGACTATTCTGCAAATCGGTTTTTGATTTCGATTAACAATGTTGCCGTGGTTACTAAAAATAGAAATTTCTGTGAAATACTTTTAAAATGCTATACTCTTCCTACAGTTTTGGTCTGATTTCAATAAAACTTGGCACACAAATAGACTACACTAAGATACATAATTCTATATATCGATTTTTGATTTCGATGAATGGTCTTGCCGTGGTTACTAAAAATAGAAATTTCTCTGAATACTTTTAAAATGCTACTCTTCCTACAGTTTTGGTCTGATTTCAATATATAACTCGGCACACAAGTAGACTACACTAAGATACATGCATAATTCTGTATATCAATTTTTGATTTCGATGAACGGTGTTGCCATGGTTACTAAAAAAAGACATTTCTGTGAAATACTTTTAAAATGCTACTAAGTATACTCTTCCTACAGTTTTGGTCTGATTTCAATATAACTTCGCACACAAGTAGACTATATTAAGATACATAATTCTGTTTATCAGTTTTTGATTTCGATGAACGGTGTTGCCATGGTTACTAAAAATAGAAATTTCTGTGAAATACTTTTAAAATGCTACTCCTCCTACAGTTTTGGTCTGATTTCAATATAGCTTGGCACACAAGTAGACTACACTAAGATACATAATTCTGTTTATTTGTTTTTTATTTCCATGAACGATGTTGCTTTGGTTACTAAAAATAGCAATTTGTGTGAAATACTCTCAAAATGCTACTCAAAGTACAGTTTTATTCTGATTATAATATAATTAGGCTTGCAAGTAGACTACACTGAGAAACATAATTACCCGTTTTGTGTTTATTTATTTTGATGAATGATGTTGATATGGTAACTAAAAATTGAAAATTCTGTAAAGTTTTATAAAAGATCCTCCCACATATGTAGTACGTCTTATTGCAATCTTGCCACAAAAAGTGGCTTAATCAAGGATCATTATTCTATTTATTGCTTTTGTAATGTGTTAAGTCCCAACTGCTAAAAGTAGCCTTTATTATAAGTACAAACCAGAAGAGCTACAGTCTCGACAGAGACTTCTATTTATCCATGGGGTAGGGCGAAGGGGGGGGGGGATAGTCATGCCTAGCTACCTCTTGATCTGGATGTTCTTTTTACAATTGGGCTTTACATTATGTCAAAATACATGTTCCTAATTAGGCCACAGGGAACTATTATTAAGGTCTTCCGTCTTCACGGAAGACCTTATAGTGATTCTACTGTTTCTTATTAAGGTCTTCCGTCTTCACGGAAGACCTTATAGTGATTCTACTGTTTCTTATTATTATTATTATTATTATTATTATTATTATTATTATTATTATTATTTTTCCGTACACCAAATTTTGTGCACGCGATTTCTCGAAGACTACTGGGTGAATTTTCATGAAATTTACAGAAATTATGTGTTATTATCTGAAGTTATTTTTTCCGAGAGATTTTTTGAAAATTCGCTTCTGGTGCCAAGTTACGGGACATTTTCTGAAAATAAAATGACATTTTGTCCACGATTAAACTCAAAAACGGTAAAAGATATCAACATGAAACTTTCAGGGATTATAGATCGTGATATTTACCATCCAGGACGCGACAATTCGTTCGTCGTCAGTACTTCCTGTCGTTAGGAGAAGCGAAATGAAAAAATCGGATTTTCTAACTTTTTTGTTTTTAAATATTTTTTATTTATTTTTGGAATGATAATAGACACCCTTTGATTGATGTTTACTGTATAAGTTGTTTGAATATTGGTTAATCTGAACTCTAGATATTAATATTTGAAAATCTGAAGCGGGTCCAAGAT